TCTCAGTCATCTCTCCTTCCTCTGTCCTCAGCAGGATTACTGTAATCAGATCAGTCTCTGGTTCTGACCGGGTCACAGCGGGTCACATGACCAGCAAGATCCGCTCTGGTTCTGCCGGTCAGTCGCTGCAGCTGTCTGTCCGTCTGTCTGTCCGTCTGCAGGACGATGCTGACCAAAGACAAGAAGCCGGAGGACAAGGAGACGCAAAAGGAGGCGGCTGAGGTCATCCCCCCCGACCGACACCCCCAAACTGTTCAAGGCCGCCCTGAAGGTCACGGAGCGCGCCGGCATAGAGGGAACATTCGCCAGGATAAAGAAGGTTTACCAACCAGCTGAGGGCCAAACAGAGGTAGGGAAGGAAGGAAGGATGGAGGGAGGAAGGAAACGAGGGAAAGTAGAGAGTGAGGGAAGGAAGGGGGTAGGAAAGGAAACAAGGATGTTCCTGTCAGCTCTGAGGGTTTCGATTTAAAAAGCCATTCTCCATCTTTGTTTCCTCAGGCTCCGCCCCCCATCTCTCCGATGCCGCCTCCTTCTCCGATGCACCGCCGCTCTCCAGTCCCGCGTTCGGCTCCGGAGGACAGGGACGAGTCGGTGGCAGAGACGGCGGACAGCTCCGTCATCATCAGGATGACGCCGCGGCAGGAAGGGGAGGAGCTTCTGACGGTGGAAGTGTTGGAGGAAGGAGCAAAGAGGGAGGAAGAAGAGGGATGAGGAAACTGCAGTTCCGCCTTCGGCCACATGGGTCGCTACCGGTCTCAGAGGGGGCGCTGTTTCCTCAGGAGAGGAAACATCAAAATACCAGACTCAGTTTCCCAGAGTTCATAGCTTTTGTTCTGCAGTCTGCCTCTGAACTGAAGCTTTTAGATGCAGTCTGGTGTTTATTAGTGAGGATGAGGAGCAGGTCATGAAGAGTAAATGATGAAGAGCAGCGTTGCTTCTGAATCAACGACGAAGAGCTGAAAGATCTGCGGCTCTAGCACAAAATGCTTTCTAGTTTTATTTTCCTCAGAAATATATTTAATTGTGTCTGACTCTCTGAGGGTGTACTTACTTATTTACTTACTTATTTACTTACTTACTTACTTACTATAATTAACTCAGTGCTGACTGGAGCAAACAAGCTACAAACACATGAATGAATTCCCAAACAAAACAAAAAACTGCAACCATGGGAATCAGAAACAAAATGCAAAATTCTGCTGAAAGTAAAAACTGCAGCAAAAATAAAATAACTGCAACCTGGTTCCACCAACGGAGTCCTCCAGACCACTAGGGGGAGTCACACAGGACCTCATCCTGTCACTGGATGAATGTTGGAGGAGGAAAGAAACAGGTGCGCTATACTTCATGTTATTACAACAGCAGCATATCCACATAGGCAATATTACTGACTGCAGACTCCGCCTGTGGTCTGGATGACCTCTGCTCTGTGAATTTGACGTGTTTTATGCTTCCTGTCTTTTGCTATTTATGGCATTTTCCCTTTGCATCAATTTAATGAATTTGCAAACTATTTATTTTCTGTGTATTGGTTGCAAAGTTTACACCAGCTCTGTTCAATCTGCGTTGATCCGACTCCCGTCCATTTGTCTACAAACTGTGGTTGGTTCTCAGAATGTTAAATCCGTTATTACCTCTGACCTCTGGTCCTCCTGACTTTGGTCTGGATTCAGTTGAAGTGAACTCTACTTCGGTTGAATGTGAACGCCAAGCGAACTGGAGACCGCTCCAAAGCAGGAAATGGACTACAGCACAGGGCATTCTGGGTAAATACAACCAAAGCTAATATGCTAGCCTAGGGTTAGCAGCAGAAATGGCTCCCTGGTCTTCAGCCAAAGACTAAAGAGAAATCCTCCAGCACTAAACTCTGACGCCTCCATCTTGTTTCATCTGGTGAAACAGGAAGTTGCTCTCAGCGTCTTCAGAGGTTTTAGTGTCGTTTCCTGCAGTGGTTGTTGGTGCAGCGCCCCCACAGGCCAGGAGGGGAACAGAAATGTGCATGTCGTTGGCAGCCTGCCGGCCACCGTACTTCCTCCTGGGCCAACAGGAAAAGCAGCACAGTGTGTTTCTGACGTACCATTTAAAGTGTTTTCTTCCAGCCTGTAGGGGGCGCCACAGCAGACCTTGTGTCTCCATCTGTGATGTGGACATGTTGAGCATTTCCTGTTATAAATCTTCCTAACAGAATCTCCCTGAGCGGTCAGAGGGGTGTGAAACGTTGTGCAGGGCAGATCCGGTGGTTTCTGCAGCTCCTGCTCATGTGAGGCACAGGAAACAGGAAGGGCTGTTCCGGCCGGAGCGGCACAGGAAACCCGGAGCCCCAGGAGATCACGCCAACGTGGCAGGAAGCTGCTGATCCGTCTGAGCCCAAAGGATCTGCTCCAAACTTCCACATGTCTCCTGATGCTGGATTGTAACTCTCATCGTGTTCCTGCTGCTTCCTAACGTTGGGAATGTTTTCCACTGAGTCGCCAATAAAAGCCAGGCTGTGTGCAACAGAGCTCAGTTGTGTGTCGTTAATAAGCAGCTCTCTGGATGGCAGACTGGGAAGACAGGAAATGACGTCAGAGGTCCCATGCAGCGCCTCAAATACGCTGATGTGTTTGAGGCTGCACGTCCAGGAGGGGGCGCTGTTTGACCCTCTCTAGGACAAGTGTGAATGGAGTTTCATTGAACTCGGTTTCCCAGAGTTCATCTGTGCAGGAAGCCTTTTGTAAAATGATACAGGAAGAATTAAAGGCAATAATTTGCTTTGTTCAGCCAAAAAGGTATTTTTCAGTCATATTATTATATTCGCCATATTATACAGATATTCATAAATCCAAACAAGAGGTTTCATTCACAAGCTAAATATTTAGCTTCCCAAGTATATATTTAGTTAGCAAGCCAACTAAATATTTAATTTGAAAGCTAAATATTTTGCTTGTAAAATAAATATTTAGCTTCCTAACAAAATATTTAATCTTTGAATTAAATGTTTATTTTGAAACACATTTATGAACGTAGAAACATTTTAGTGAAAATGAACACTGACATATTTCCTTTATGACTAAATAAAAACAAATTATTGCTTTTCATTTTACAATCGGCTCCTGCGTCTGACCTGGTGATCAATCGATTGATTAGAGCCCAGAGGTTCTGATCGGTTCAGGAGCCAACCGGATCTGGTCAGAACCGATCAGAACCAAGAACTCTTCCCAGAGCTGAATTTATTGCCAAATTATTCTACAAAATAATGATATGGATATTCATGTTAATCAATAGAAAGACTCATTTCAATACTCAGTCATTCTGTAAACAGTCAAAATAATCCGATTAATATTCATTAGTCTTCAGAAACTCATCTTAATATTTAAATGACTCTGCAGAGGAAGCTGAGCAGCAGGACGGACAGGAGGTTCGGCTGCAGCTGACTGGATCAGAACAGCAGGTCCCGATTGTCCTGCTGCAGGGGGCGGGGCCTGCAGCTGTCTCACCTGGACAGGTGAGCCTGCAGCAGCAGCAGATCGTCTCTTCCAGCCTGGATTATTTCTGGAAGTTTCATCTCAGCGTCCAGAGGGAAAAACATTCCCACAGAGTTCTGGGTCTGCTGGTTCCGATCCTGCTCTCTGGTTTTCAGACACGTTTCAGTTTCAGCCTGAACGATTCATCTGGCTTTAAGGTTTTATTTCATTAAAATGTTTTATTTTGAAGATTCTGTTTGTCACGTGACCCCCAGCTGCGGCCCGCCCTCTTCCCTATAAAAGTCCCGCTTATTGCCGCCCTCACTCACGCGTCCGACCGTCTGTGAAGGCAACACCGGCAGAGACACAGTGAGCGGCGTCGCCCGCAAACTGAGCGTTTCTGCGTGGCGGCCTGCGGGAGGAAGAGGAGGAAGAGGAGGTAAGCGGAAACCTAACAGTTTGTGGTTCCGCTGCTGGTTCTGTGGTCCTGCAGGGTGTGTTCGGCTCCGTTCGGCTCCGTTCGGCTCCGTTCGGTTCCGTTCGGCTCTTTTCACGCGGCTCCAGCAGCTTCCACCGCCTCGCGCTTCTTTCATCCGGACAAAAGCTGCGCGGCGTCACCTGCCCAGCGGGACGTCCACGTGGTGGTTACCATGGCGACGACGAGCTGTCAGCGCAGTCCGGTTCGGAACGGTCCAAACAGACAGAGCTCGTTCAGATCCAGAACGTTCTTTAGGGAGCCGAACATGAAGGAGGAGCGAGTCCAATCGGAACCAGCTGCTGCTGAAAGAACCGACTCCAGCACAGCAACGGTTCTGATCCCGAACTGGTCTGGGTTCGGTTCTGATCCCGAAACTGGTCTGGGTTCGGTTCTGATCCCGAACTGGTCTGGGTCCGGTTCTGATCCCGAACTGGTCTGGGTTCGGTTCTGATCCCGAACTGGTCTGGGTTCGGTTCTGATCCCGAACTGGTCTGGGTTCGGTTCTGATCCCGAACTGGTCTGGGTCCGGTTCTGATCCCGAACTGGTCTGGGTTTGGTTCTGGTCTGAAGCAAAGCCAGCAGCAGGTGGTTCTGTTGGTTTGTTTCTCTGTTCCCCTTGGTGCGGTTCTGGTTCTGATCAGCTTTAATTATTGATTCTGATGGATCAATAATTGATTCATAAATATTTTCTGTTCCCTGCAGTTATTAATTTCATTCCTGTTGGTTTCCTTTGATCATTTCCCATGGAAATATTCTTGCTACTGGGAGCACTGGGAACACTGGGAGCAATGTTCTAAATGACTGGAAGGATCAGAGGAAGTTTTTCTTCTCTGATGAACAAACCGAACAAAAAATGCTTTGACTGTTCCTCTGTAACTCTACCAGATGGTTCTGTTGGGTCTCTGCGGTTCTGTTGGACCCATGCAGGTCTGTCCTGGACAGACTTTGATGTTGGACATGTTTCCAGTCTTAAAGGGCCAGCAGCTTTTCCTCTTCAGCCTGGCAGCCTCCAGGCTGGACCTGCGCCCCTCCAGGCTGTTAGTTGATTCGATTTTATTGTTTGACTTTTTAAAGACTCGTAGTTTGTATTTAGTCATCGTTAATGTCTTCCAATGACATATAATCATAATATTTTCAACTTTCCTGTCAACATTAAACATCTTTAAACTTAAACCTGTTGGCTGAGTGCTCGGTAGCGCCCCCTACCACCATGCTCAGCAGCTTCTCTGGGAGAAACTCTGAGCCACTTTTATGTAAAATATACTTTTTTTCATGTTTCCATCATATTTTAATGTGTTTCCTTGCAGCTTTGATTCTTTCATGTTTCAGAAACTCTTTAGTCCCCATTCAGCTGAGCAAAACGCTGGGGTGAACTTAGCCCCGCCTTCGAGGCACAGCTCTCCCACTCAGCTTATTTTAACTCGCCACTTTAAATTAGAGCTTCAGGGAGACAGAAAACTGGCCTGTTGGGTTTAAAGCATCATGGTGGAGGTCAGGGGTCAGGGGGTCTTTATCTGGTGTGGACGTTCCTGGAATCTTCTAGACCAGGGTGTCAACATCTGGTCCTGGAGGCCCGGCGTCCTGCAACCTTTAGATGAGCCTCTGCTGCACCTGAATAAAATAAAAGGTCATTAAGGCTCTGCAGAACTGATCTACACAAGAAGGAGGTAATTAAGCCATTTCATTCCTGTGTTTGTACCTGTGGCACATCTAAAAACTACAGGACAGCGTCCCCAAGATCTGGAGTTTGACACCCCGGCTCACTGGTCATACTGGAACTCGGTCACCTGCCTGAGGGAACCAGCAACACGCTCAAACCGGAGGATTATCAGGATTTTGTTTCCATCTTGTTGCTGTTTGTTTCTTAAGCCGTTGGTCATGTGACGTCTGGTTGGTCATGTGATGCAGCACAGGATTGTGGGTCGAGAGCCGATTCTGGTCATTTTTTCAATGTTGAAACTGTAGAAAAGTTTGTGTTATCAGTCGTGGAGCAAAATGAATGAGATTCAGTGGTATGCATGCTAATGCATTAATGGTAGAGCTAATTTTTAAACTTAGTATTTTACTAACTTTAAAAACTATTAAAGTTTTTAAATTTCCTCTTGGCTTCCCCTGGATGAATTATTCCTGATAAATTCTGGAGCACCAATTTTCTTTTTTATTTAAAGAAAATTAAATGTTAATATTTTTGGTTTTCAACTGTTTAATTCTTCACTAGCTAGTTGTTTAGATTCATGCTTTATTTTGAAGTTTCCTCTCCTCGCCCCCCTCTGAGCCAGTCAGTACTCAGTGTCATGCTTTAGCATTAGCTCCTGCTAAATATGATGTTGATGTAGCGCTTTAGTGCTACCCCGTTTAGTGGAACTGCAGTTTGATTGGTGCTAAACTGTTAGCGTAGCTCAGGTTTAGCCAGCGGTGATGCTGTGATCCATATCGGCCCAGATTTTCTGATCCTGTTTCCCAGACCAGACCAGCAGGTGACCTGGTGGTGCCAACTTCAGCCTGGGCCCGTTTGGGCCTGGTACTGTTTCAGCCGGGCTCCAGCTGCTTGTTGTCGGGTTCTGTGGTTCCCCTGAGGTCCAGATGTTGAACATTGGCAGGTTCTGTTGGTGTTGAAGTGGATCCAGAGTAGCTTGGAGTTCTGCTCCGTCCTCAGTTCTTATGTAAGGTTGGTTCTGGTTCTGTTTGCTAACACAACCCGGTATCAGCACGAGTTGGAGACCCGTTCAGCTGGACGATCCTCAGAGTGACCAGGAGTCGGGAAATGACCTTCTGAACTATATTCCAGCTGATGAGGCGTTCAGGGGCTTCAGGAAACTTCAGTGCCGATAGAGCTGTGGTGTTTGAGGAGCAGCAGAGACCTGGTCTGGGCCGGCCCAGATGTGGTCGCAGGGCGTGTCCGCAGGGCGTGTCGCCAGGCCGCCTGCTGCAGCTATAAATATCCTCGGCTGCAGCCACATCACAGGAAGGTTTAACCCCGCGGTGCCTGGTGGAGCCGGGCTTCCACACACCGAGCGGCTCGGTGGAAAAAGTGACGGCTGGATGGTTCAGCAGTCTGGTCTCATCTTCTGAAGCTGTGGAACTGGTTGTTGTGTCTCATTACTGGGAAATCAAAGCTCAGAAACGGATCACAAAGGGAAAAACAATCAAAAACAAAGAAAATTTAGAAAGATAAGAAATCACCTGAAATCTGTCAGCGTTTGGAAACGCTGCTGTTCTGTGCTAACGGGTAGAGCTAACACCGTGCTAACACCTGTTAGCAAGGAATCAGCTCTAAAAAGATTTTTAATAACTGCTGTAATTCTCAGTTATTGATCCATAACTTTGTCTTCGGATCGATTAGCTTCGATTTGTGAATATTGATGGATTGATTATTGGCATGAACAGATCAGGTTCTGCTGCTCCGTTTCTCAGTACAAAGCTTGACTTTAGAAGCTGATCTTCCTGTTGGGAAAGGAACTGAACCAAACGGTTCAGAATCATGAAGCTCCACTGAAACAATTTGCTGTTTTGCTACAGAATCCTGTTGTCTGAAAAGTGCGGTGTGCATTTACATTAAGCACCCCTGATCTGTAGAGA